ACATGATTAAATATCGAGGTAAAAAAACACAGAAATGGGATCAATTTGGATCAGTCATTATACAAATAGGGCCTAACGACACCAATCAATTGTGACAGAAGCGTCTATGAAAACAAGTTGTAACTCGGAAACTAGGCAAAGCAGGAGACAAAATTAAATGCCAGTAGATTGTCAGAACATATAGCTTTCATTTTCCACAACAATTGTCACGATTTCAGGTTTATACAAGACTGTAAACAAATAACATGTGTAGGTTTATACCACCAAACACGGGTTACAACAAGGGAGTATTAATTGCTGTATTGCATGTGAAAACTTATGGGCCGACACTGTTTTGAGAATACAAACAGATTTTTACATGACATGATTAAATATCGAGGTTAAAAAACACAGAAATGGGATCAATTTGGATCAGTCATTATACAAATGAGAGGGCCCTAATGACACCAATCAATTGTGACAGAAGCGTCTATGAAAACAAGTTGTAACTTCGGAAACTAGGCAAAGCAGGAGACAAAATTAAATGCCAGTAGATTGTGAGAACATATAGCTTTCATTTTCGAAAACAATTGTCACGATTTCAGGTTTATACAAGCCTGTAAACAAGATAATTTACCCCCTAAAATGTAGATGAATTCTGCATCGGCCCTCAAAGCTATTCCTCATATGACGTCACAGAGTCGCGCCGCTCTGATTGGTTGAAATTTCGTTCGCAGGTAAGAATTGTGCACTGTTGTCAAAAAGGTCGATTTAAGTCAATTAAAGGTCGAAATGAGTAGTTTTAATGACGGGGTTTCAATTATAACGATGCCAGTTAGTGATTTATGTATTTTTACCCCCTAGGGTTTATGTGACCTTTAACATCTCTTCATAGGAGGAGCAATTTAAAACAGAACTGTTTCGCCAGCCTTGGGTTATTGACTCCCTCTTCAATGGTAGCATCCAAGAAGTATCTAATAAAGTTGATAAAGAAACCCACTTTCAAGTCTCGATTTAACTGTTAAAGATACAGAAGTCACAGCTCCAGGACTCATTAAAACAGCGTCGAACTGCACAGTTCACCCCTACCAATCCGGATTTACGCAATCTTTTTCGAGGCGCATCCACTCAAGGTGGTGGAGAGGAAACAGATCTGGCGGCAGTGGTTCCTCCGTCGCCTTCAGGACCAACTCTGGCCCAGGGACCAGCGCTGGGAGGCAGTGACGGCTTGAGACAATCGCACGATTGGGACCTCCCGTCCCCAGTCGTTCGGATTTACAACACTCCGGTAGGTGGGAGATTGCAGATCTTCGCCCCGAATTGGACCATCCTCAAAGATCCATATGTCACCAACCTGCTACTTCACGGCTATCAGCTACCCGTTATTGGCAGTCCACCTCTGATGTCGCATCCGGCTCATCGCTCATATCCTGTGGACCAGCTTCACACTCTGCAATCCACAATAGGTACGCTATTAGACAATCTCGCGATAGAGCTCCTAGGTCCATCACCCGTCACTCCAGGATTCTACTCCCCCATCTTCTTGGTTCCAAAGAAAAATTCCAACAAACTCCGGCTCATCTTCAATATGAAGTTGTTCAATGCCCCATTCCTGCTTCCACCGCCTCACTTCAGGATGGTGTCGATCAACCTTTTACGCACCATCCTGAAGAAGGGAGACTTCCTCATCAGCCTAGATCTTCAGGATGCTTATCTTCACTTTCTGATACATCCAGAACACCGGAAGTACCTTCGCCGAGTAGCCACAGCTATCACTTCAGTGCATCGTAATTCAACTTGTTCCTTGTACGACAATAAGTGGAAGAAGTTTGAAGACTATTACAAGCTTAGGGGAATTGCATCTCCCACTTCCACCTCGGCTCAGGTCGTTGCTGAGTTTCTCCAGCATCTCCGCACTACTAAGAAACTCAAGGGTACTACGTTAGCTACCTACTTAGCCGCCATCAACTCGGTTTTGGCTGCCACCACAGGCACGAAGATTTCCACTGTTCCCGAGTTGCAGAGTCTACTACGCTCCTATAGACTCTCTGACCAGTCCAGGAAGTTCAGACCTCCAGCCTGGGATCTGTCCGTCGTCCTTCGTCATATGATTTCTACAGATTATGAACCTTTAGAAGACAAGGACTTCGAACAAGTGACATTCTTCCTGGTAGCTTTGGCTACCGCTGCTTGTATATTTAAACTGCATGCGCTTGATGTCAATCAGGTGCGGTTCAAACGGAAGAAGCATGGCAAGGCTTTCCTGGGTCTTCGCTACCAAAAACCAAGTGCCAGGGCAACCGGACCGGATGTTTACCATTCCCCCGTTGTCCACCATTCTTGGGCCTGATGATATTGAAGATTTGACACTCTGCCCTGTTAGGGCTCTATACGTTTACCTTGCTGCCTCCAAGGATCGTCGACGGCTACGGAAGCGCCTGTTAATACCCTTGTCGAACGCTTCAAGAACTGAGGTTCCCGGACCACATTGGCCTTCTGGATGCGTGCCACGATCCTGCGAGCCTACACCTTTGCAGGGTTGCCTCCTCCAGCTGCTTCCAATCCTCATGAGACTCGTGCACTAGCCTCAACGATGGCCCTCCATGGCAACTGCTCCTTGTCCGCTATCATGGAAGGTTGCTTCTGGCGTTCTGATACAGTCTTCTCTTCACATTACCTGCGAGACCTGTCTGTCACGGATGTCCAGGGACTACACCAGTTGGACCTCTTGTACTGGCTCAGCAGCTTACATCAGCCCAACAACGCAGATGAGGGACGGTTCCGCATTCGCGTTTTTCTACTTCCTTGTATATACTGAATAAAAGTTGAACTGGATCTCAACCTTTTGTTCTCATTATACTTCACATGGCCTCCATACCAAGGCATCGGAATACGGACCTGAGGCACAATCAGCATGACGATGCAGAGGTGTTCGACATTCACGCTTACTGACCTCTACTCCACGGAGCAATTACGTCAGTGAAGTGTGACACTCCCGAATTCCAGTGGATTTCGTTGCGTTCTGCCTCCAAAGTTGCCGGGCACATCCTTTGACTAAGCTTAGGCAAAGGAGTGAGGACTTCTTTGAGTGGCATTTTAGAAGTTGGGAAGTACAATATAGAACAAACTTTATGGATAACAACTTCTTTTTATTCGTGAGTGCGACGTTTCGATACTGATTCTTGTGCTGTTGTCAAGCATGAGGAGTGAGGGTCAATTTGATTCTGCCCGGAACTGAACGTTAAACCTTGGAGATGCCGAGTTGTGTTTCTCTTTCACCCGCCTCGGTCGATGTCAGGGGGGCCTTCTTGAAGCAGGGGCTGACCCGATTCTAGTCGCAAGACTTTAATTACGGGGGTACCTTGTAAATCGTGGCGAGGCGAGGCTTACTTGTCTTCTACAAGGTTGCGGCCGAACACCACATCGCTCGGGAGCACCCATCTCCCTGGAAGTCGTTGTGCTTAGTAAGCCAAAGGGTTCTGGAGAACCCACTACAAGCATAGGAGTTGCGTGCATGCGTAACAGGCCTCCCTTGTACATCGCTATCTATGGTTGTCATCAGTCCACACAGCTCCAAGACCAGCTTTTCGCACTGTCCAGACAGGAGGGTAATCTGCGGCCCGCCGTCCAACCGTGGGATAAGTGCAAGTCGTGAGATAGGATAAGTTGAAAAATTTGGAAATTTTAATATACATTGTATATTTATATACTTATCCTATCTCACACAACAGATGCCCGCCCGGCCTCCCCACTACTCAGATTACAACGTTGGCTCCAAGATGAGAATGATCATTCAAGGTAGTCACGTGGGCAATTAGTGGAGCATGCTGCAAGCTTAGGAACTAAGAAGCTAATTAAGGAGAGCAGGATGGAGTGCACGGGCGAATAAACAAGGTGGCCTAAGGAAAAAAGTTTACAGTCGTTCCACTAAAAGTCGAAGCAAGAGAGAGAGGTGCAAGTTGTGAGATAGGATAAGTATATAAATATACAATTTATATTAAAATTTCCAATTTTTATTTTCCCGGTTTCCATGGAAACGATTCAGACTTAGTCTCAAAAGGGAGGGATGGGTTTCGTTTCCGGAGCACAATTCGAAAACCGCTCAATATCTTTCAACGAAACTTGGTAGATATATCAAACAGAACCTAAAGTGGTGCCTTTTGCTATTTACAGATTTTTGTCATTTTGATTTTTCTTGATTTCCATGGAAACGTGTTGGACTTTGTCTAAAAATACATCAAGTTGGACTTGATGATTTGTTCTTTCAAATATGTAGGGGCCGGGGAGATTTGTCATCTTCTGTTGACTCTTGTTAAACAAGTTAATGATTTGGTATCAAACGATCAAAAGTGAGTTTGATACTAAATCTTTCACGAAGTATAATAACAATAATAGTATTTCATGGAAGCGAAGTTTAGTATTCTGTTTATTACTCTCCAACATAAATTGATAGAAACTGCCTCAGCTTCCTCACATGAGTCAAGCATGGTCTAATACCATTTATGACAGTGGTATTAGCATTGTGACGTCATAACTGTAACCATTATGACAGTGTACATATATGAGTAATAGAACCTCTCCCATGAGTCTTTTGATATGCAATATATGAACAGGAATAAACATATAGGTTTAAAATCTTTGTCAAAATTCAGAGGTGATAATATAAACTTGCATTATATTTAGTGTTTATATATTTGATATCCAAAAAGAATAATGGTTGGATTCTTCATATATTAAAACCCTATTCCCAAAATTGGCCTGCTGTCAGAGAAATATGTCAACTTTGAAAAGCATGAACCATTTTGCTGGGTGTTATATATTGTAAAACCGTTTGTCAGCTGTAGACCAAGTATCAGCTTTACAGATAGTCTTGAGAAGTCTCCACACGAGATGAAATGTTGATGTGCTATGACAGTTCTGCTTCTACTGATGAGTTGTTGTGAGGTAGATATGATGTGAGCCTACATACACGTGTGGAAACCCTCCAGGGAAGACTGATGCAGGACAGTGTTGTGTTTCAGGTACCTTGTCAATACCATGCTGATGCTGACCCAGTTCGGCTTCTGCTCGGTGTACATTGTCTTCGTTGCCACGACAGTACAACAGGTAATGTAATGTGATTCTAACAAAACTTTTAATTGCCATAGAGCTTGTATTTGTGGCTGCAGTCACACTAGAACTGAACTTTACATTTCAGCGGAAGTCCTCTTTGGTATAACCAATATATAATATGTTGTACCCATAATAGCACCTTCAGCCTACAGCTAGTTCCATGCACAAAAGGCAGGAACAGTGTACAGTGATATGACTAAATTCTGCTCAAAGTGGCATTAAACCATGATCAGCTGATAGTTATGCAACCCCATATAGTTCAGAACTGTTAGAACATATATTTTCTTCATTGCTCAGTGATATATTTTAGGCAGTTTGTACAAAAGACAGAAAATGGTGTATATATTGACAGGAGTGTTGAAATCAGAAAGTCAAACTTTATAATTTTGAGTCCCTGAGTTTAGACATTAATGCCTTGACACCTGACTATAAATGGTGATTGTGTTACAGGTCATTCACCATTTTCATCCTGACGATCCCGTCATCCGAGTGTACATGGTGATCGTCATGATCCTGTTAGTCCCCTACACATTCGTGAAGAATCTCCGAGCCCTCGCTCCCTTCTCCGCCTTCGCCAACCTCCTCACCATCACCGGCCTCGGTATCATCTTCGTCTACATTGTCCAGGGCCTGCCTAGTGTGAATTCCAGGCCGGCATTCTCCTCCTTTGCGCAGCTTCCCCTCTACTTCCGCACAGCAATATTTGCCTATGAGGGGATTAGTTTGGTAGGTGGAATAACTACCCTTTAGGACTGTAACCCTGAGTCTAGTGGATGCTTCAAACCTTCGAGAAGTGACTTCTGAATCATCTGGTCAGGTTTGCCTATGAGGGGATTAGTTTGGTAGGTGGAATAACTACCCTTTAGGACTGTAACCCTGAGTCTAGTGGATGCTTCAAACCTGTGACTTTGTGAATCAGCTGGTCTCACCATGTGACTTGGTTAATTTCATGTCATTACATCCAAAGCTGCTCATTATATCAACCTCTGGTTTAGTTACTGGCTGCTGTTGTATAGCTGGCGTGTTTACGGCTGAGTGAAGTGTTAAACCATATTTTGTACTGATTGTCAGTATATTGTGCCGATTGACCAAGTGAGTTTTACTGAAAGCTGACTGTACCCGGAACCCTTTGACGGTCAGTATTTGGTCAAACATATACAAGGTGTCGGACTGAGGTCATTTAACAGCGTGTATTTATTTAGTAGGTAGAATATTGCTGACACTAGTAGAGACCCATGTTCACTCACTCACCCTGCAGGTGCTCCCTCTAGAGAACAAGATGAGGAACCCCCAGGACTTTGCAGGGTGGACCGGAGTGCTCAACCTGGGTATGGTGATTGTGACCTGTCTCTACACAGCCGTCGGTTTCTATGGCTACCTCAAATACGGAGACGATGCTAAGGGAAGCATAACACTGAACCTGCCAACAGATAACTGGTAGGTGAAATCTTTGAACTCAGAAATCATTAACATTTGAAAAAATCTTTACCATTTGAATCAAAGTCTGTCAATACGATTGTTTATTTCTTTTCTTTTAGAATGTAATGAATTTTGGTATGTGTGTTGTTGGCCCGCTCATATGATTCGTTTGTCATGATGTTTATTGTTGATTATTATTTGACAGCTCTTGAGAGCTCTAAAGTCCTTTTAAATGTGTGGGGTAGCCTGGTGGTATAAGCACACCGAAGGCCCGGGTTCGATTGCCCACATGGATACAACGTGTGAAGCCCATTTCTGGTCTCCCCATCCATGATGTTGCTAAAAGCGGTGTAAAACCATACTCAGGCCTAAAAAATAAAATGTTGTGGTTGCGATTACCCGACCGTTCTGGTGCCGACCCTATTTTATTCAAGCGGAATGAATAAAATACGCTTTCAGATACCATTGTTTTTTCCCGGCACCAACAGATATCTGTCATTCTGATAGAGAAAGTTGATATGATGGCCGCAAGCTTGATTGAATAAACTATTACACATTGATAAATGTCTTATTAGTTTGTACTTTACTTCAAAAAACAATATGTAAGAAAAAAGTTCTGACCTACCTAAATTTTTAAGAGATGTAATCAGAACTACAACAGTTTTTTTATTTGGACTCACTCACTCACTCAAAATGTGCGTCCGAGCACTGTAGCAAGTGCACATTAGAAATCATTATACCACTGATGCTTGGCATTATGTTTAACGTGTATTACCTGACTTCCCACCAGCCTGCATGTGCTGATCAACAGATTGTGTTTGTTTCTGAGGGACATCACCAAAATTTGTTTTTTAAATTGTTCAAGTGGGAATGGTATACTCTAGCGTAGCACGGTTTCACTGTATAGACAGTTCGTATGTTTAGTGTTGTTTTCAAACTAGGTCAGTAATTCTTTTCTTATTGTCAGTCTGTTAAGTTGTTGTAACTCACCTATCCCCAGGTGACCATCAGACAGATCACTGTGTTCAGTTTCATCACCAAGCTGTGGTTGAATCATTTGTTCAGGATTTGATTCCAAGATCACACCATTTATAATTCATCATTTGTCAACACCATACCCACTGATTTTCACCTTGGACTTCAACATAGAGGTCACTTAAAGTGACACTATTGAGAATGAGTGAGTGAGTTTAGTTTTACCAGCTTTTAGCAATATTCCAGCAATATCACAGTGTGGGACACCAGAAATGGGCTTCACACATTGAACCCATGTGGGGAATCAAACCCGGGCCTTTGGCTTAATGAGTGAATGCATTAACCACTAGGCTACCCCACCACCCCTATAGAGAATTGGCCACTCTGTGGAGTTTATGTAAGTGCTGATGTTGATTCTGTTGTATTTCAGGCTGTACTTGTCAGTGAAGCTTATGTTTGCTATATCCATCTTCATATCCTACGGTGTCCAGTTCTATGTGCCCATGAAGATCATATGGCCAGTCATTGAGAGCCGCCTTGTGTCCCGGAGACTGATTGTCTACGGCGAATATCTGCTGAGAATAGTTCTAGTGCTCATCACATGTAAGTTTACGGGGAATATCTGCTGAGAATAGTTCTAGTGCTCATCACGTGTAAATCTACAGCGAATATCTGCTAAGAATACTTCTAGTGCTCCTCTCGTGTAAGTCTACGGCAAATATCTGCTGAGAATAGTTCTAGTGCTCATCACGGAATATCTGCTGAGAATAGTTCTAGTGCTCATCACGTGTAAGTCTACGGCAAATATCTGCTGAGAATAGTTCTAGTGCTCATCACGTGTAAGTCTACGGCAAATATCTGCTGAGAATAGTTCTAGTGCTCATCACGTGTAAGTCTACGGCAAATATCTGCTGAGAATAGTTCTAGTGCTCATCACGTGTAAGTCTACGGCAAATATCTGCTGAGAATAGTTCTAGTGCTCATCTCATGTAAATCTATGGCAGAATATCTGCTGAGAATAGTTCTAGTGCTCATCACATGTAAGTCTATGGCAAATATCTGCTGAGAATAGTTCTAGTGCTCATCTCATGTAAGTCTATGGCGAATATCTGCTGAGAATAGTTCTAGTGCTCATCACATGTAAGTCTATGGCGAATATCTGCTGAGAATAGTTCTAGTGCTCATCTCGTGTAAGTCTATGGCGAATATCTGCTGAGAATAGTTCTAGTGCTCATCTCGTGTAAGTGTATGGCTGAATATCTGCTGAGAATAGTTCTAGTGCTCATCTCATGTAAGTCTATGGCGAATATCTGCTGAGAATAGTTCTAGTGCTCATCTCGTGTAAGTGAATATCTGCTGAGAATAGTTCTAGTGTCGTGTAAGTGTATGGGAATATCTGCTGAGAATAGTTCTAGTGCTCATCTCATTGTAAGTGTAATATCTGCTATAGGCAAATATCTGCTGAGAATAGTTCTAGTGCTCATCTCATGTAAGTCTATGGCAAATATCTGCTGAGAATAGTTCTAGTGCTCATCTCGTGTAAGTCTAAGGCAAATATCTGCTGAGAATAGTTCTAGTGCTCATCTTGTGTAAGTCTACGGCGAATATCTGCTGAGAATAGTTCCAGTGCTCATCTGTGTAAGTGCTCATCGGCAAATATCTGCTGAGAATAGTTCAAGTGCTCATCTTGTGTAAGTCTATGGCAAATATCTGCTGAGAATAGTTCCAGTGCTCATCTCGTGTAAGTCTACAGCGAATATCTGCTGAGAATAGTTCCAGTGCTCATCTCGTGTAAGTCTACGGCGAATATCTGCTGAGAATAGTTCTAGTGCTCATCTCGTGTAAGTCTACAGCGAATATCTGCTGAGAATAGTTCCAGTGCTCATCTCGTGTAAGTCTACAGCGAATATCTGCTGAGAATAGTTCTAGTGTTCATCTAGTGTAAGTCTACGGCAAATATCTGCTGAGAATAGTTCTAGTGCTCATCTTGTGTAAGTCTATGGCAAATATCTGCTGAGAATAGTTCCAGTGCTCATCTTCGTGTAAGTCTACAGCGAATATCTGCTGAGAATAGTTCCAGTGCTCATCACATGTATGTCTACGGCGAATATCTGCCGAGTTGAATTTAAGTTCCACAATATCATAAATAATATACTTTAAGTAAAACCAACCTAGGTAAATAATTGTGTGACAAATGAATCTATGCTTATCCTACCTGACACCAAAAGGTGTTCGAAATGTTCGTCGATATATGATCAGTATCATGTATATCTGTTTCTTTCCTTCCAGTTGGATTCGCAATACTCATTCCTCATCTGGACCTTCTCATCTCGCTCATCGGGGCATTTGCCAGCTGCTCTCTTGCTTTGATTTTCCCAGCTGCCATTGAACTCGTCACTTATGCATCAGAGGATGGGTCCATATCTAAGATAATGTTTGTTAAGAACTTTCTCATCATGCTTTTTGGTGTAATAGGCTTTGCAACAGGAACATATAGTTCTTTAAAGGAAATCATTGCAACATTTTGATGTTGGTGTCTCTGTGTGTTAGTTTATGTATGTGATTTCAGAGGAGAATGTTCTTTCATCAGATGATGTGAATATTTGTACTTTTGTAATAATCTGTCTGGCTTCATTGCAAAGCATTGTACAAATGGCAACCCTTCCATACAGAAACAGGTTGACTGATGGACATGTTTTGTAGATGAGTTGATGATCTTATCTGTAACCTTGTGGGTTTTTTGGCATAACTAAGTCAGTTTTATATATGACTGTGTCACAGTGTGGACATTATTGATACATCTTGATACATATTGATACATTGGTAGGTTAATTAGCATTTGTATTGAGCCGTTTTCCTGGGGGTTGTTTTATAAGTGGGGTTGCTTTATGTACAGCAATTTACACTAGTAATGAAGTTTAGATCATGTTCAATTTTCCATTTTTAATCTTATTTGTGAGAAATTAATTATTGCCTGTATTTGATCTTTTCAATGTGACAGTATTGAAAGCTAAAATTTCTTGTGGCCATTTCTTGAAGGTTTTGTTTTAAAATGTTCAGAAATTCTGTGTATATGTAGTTAGTTGTGGCAAATAGCTTTTTCGAAAAATTATTTTCATTACTGCATTTTAAAATTTACTTTTGTTGAGAACCTCTTTTACATTTTTAATTGCTGAGTGCATATGCAGAGTGAGTGAGTGAGTATGGTTTTGCGCCGTTTTTAGCAATATTCCAGCATTATCATGACTGGGGACGCCACAATTAGGCTTTACACATTGTACCCATACAATGAAACATATGCAGAAGTGTTGCAATGCCATTATAAGTTGTTCACTGAGCATGGTTGATGTACCCTCTGCTTGTTGATGTTCCTTGTTATGTTTGTTTATGTACATGAAGGGTACATCAACCCATGGGCGCTGAGGGACCATTGAACAATGTATTTATCTTTCCAAACACCTCAATGTTAATTTTGAACTGTTTGAAGCACACGTATCGGATCATAATAAGGAGTACCAGAGTTAGGCAATTAGCCAATACTAGATTTTCAGATTACAAAGAATCTAGCAGAAATATACAAGAAAAAACAAATTTAGAGTTATCTCCCTTCCATTTATTTGCATTCACAAAACATCGGTATTTTCAGTACATCATATGGGACTCAGTTATGCAAGATAACGAATTGCTAAGACAAAGTACCAAATGAATTCCCACTGTATCCCGCTGTTCGACATTCCCAGCACTCAGAACGGGTTACGAAGAGCCAAGCAAACAGAAAACGACATTTATGTGTGAGGTAAGATAATGCTCTTTTTCAGTTGCTCAGTTTGTCATTATGGAGTGTTTAGGTGTCTAGCCAAGACCTGTCAGTGTGCCAAACAGTGGCATAATGAAGGAGATGTACAGGTGGCTGCTGCAGGGCTGTTGTGCGTGAATGTACATAAGCCTCTGGTACGTTTTTCATCTTCCAAGACTTCAACGCAAATCAATTTGAAATTTCTTCATTATTTTCTCTCCCCACACAATGTATTAAATATGCCATTTGCATGAAAACAAGTATACATTTTATTACACGTGGAGTCCCACGCATAGTTGTCTAAACTGACCAATTTCACAAGACACTCTCCAAGCCTTGGCATTTGCCTGGATGAAGAAAAGTTCATAAACAAAACAACAGCAATAGTAAAACTGTTCATTATGATCAAAGCTGTTCAGTCCCAACTGGGATTGCTAGTTTAGGTGGTAGAGATATTGATAGGATAGTCACCTTTCTCCTCCATTGGCTAGGCCTCAGGGTTATTACTTCTTACCATGCAGCAGCAATTACAGTCAAACGCTGTTGTGTCAAACTCTGATGTGTCAAATACACGATTGTCTCAAGGTAAAAGTTTGGCCTCTATGAATTCCTTCTTTGTGTATTGTTTTCAGTTGTGTACTAATACAATCTGTATTTTTTCTGTCAAGGTTTGAACTGCAAAAGATGGCATTAATTCAGATTCACTCATTCACCCTCATGGTGAATAATGCTGTATTTTGTGATCATGCTTGGTTTGTGATATAACTAACATCAGGCTGGTGTTTGTTGACAAGCATGAAGTCATTGTTCAAGACATCCAAACAGTTTCTTCAGTGATGGTGTGTGTGTTGACTTTCAGACAACACTGTCTCACTCATCATCTGCCTTTCCCACAGAGGTCACTTCCTTAGCTCAGAGGTCACTTCCTTAGCTCAGAGGTCACTTCCTGAGTTCAGAGGTCATTCTTTCTATAAGTATTTAGCATCATATTCCGTGACTTTGAAATCTGCAGCTTTGTATGCAATTATGAATTATGTTTTATGTTTTTACGTTTTAGTGATAATACTTTTTAAATTGTAATGTTTCTGTTAGGTTACAAAGTTTGTTTTAAACATTATGTTCTCCCATTTTGTTTTAGTGCATCTTGTAATATCTGATTGTGTTCATTTTATTGTCATGTACAGATTTTGTTAACATTTTCTGTAAATGTTTTCCGATAAAATGAAATACCAGTCAGTCTAATCTCAGGTTTAAATGTTCCAGGGTAAGCAGATAGGTCAAAATATCACCAGTTGTATCACTTTCAAAGAGAGTTTGTGTTGTTGTGAGGGAGCATTCATTATTATGTAATGAAGTAACTTTTCATTTTCCAAGGAAAGTGAGCATTCATTATTTAGTTCATATGGGATTTATTGTTCTGCAGTGAAGTGAGAATTCATTGTTCTGTAATATGGGGAATATTCATTGTTTGATAGTAAAGGGGCACCCATTATTCCTTACTTAATGATATATGTATCATTCTGTAGTAAAAGGAGCTTTAATTGTTCCAGTAAATGTAGTAAGCGCTTCAAGGGGTGAACCTACTCTTGAGAGTGGCTACTACTGGCTACCACTAGCTACTGTTACAAGTATAGCTCCATTTGGGTGTGTAAGTTGCACTTACTTTGATCAGTGGCTACTGCTGGCTACTGTTGCAAGTATAGCTTCAGTTGATTGTATTAATAGCCCTTACATTAATCAACACGTTGAATGGAATTTCAGATCATATTGATATACAGATGATCAATATTGACATTAATGTTTTATTATTGCAAACTACTGAACCACTGTTGCAAGTGTCTGTATATATATTATATATATATGCATGTAGTATTCAGGGATTAACAGATTCAGTTTGAGCAAAAGCATATTCTCAAAAATTCATTTTATAGCTTTTGTTTGAAATCAGTCATATTATGATCAAGATGTCAGAAGGTTGAAATGAAAATTTAATGAATGTTTGTAATTGTATCTTATTGTGATGTTGAGAAATCCCAGCTATTTAGACCAGGTACAATACTCCCCTTATGGGATATCATGGTCAAACGCACATCAAATTCACAGTTTGAACATAATTTAGACATGTGGACGACATAACGTGATGATAGTGAGTCTGTGTCCTTGGATTACATTATATGTACCTCCACAATATTGCAAGTAGGCCGTAGATACATGTGTTGTGCGTTTCTAATGATAAAGGTTTTCTGAGTGTAAATATCAACTGTATATATTGTTGGCATGCAGTGATGTACATAGTGCCCTGTAGATTGCCCTGGTCTTTCATTGCCATGCACTATAAAGCCTGTCAATTGCCGACTGATCGACTCCTTTGTTCTTTCTACATAGTTATCAGAATGTATTTTATTCCTGGAGAATTCCAAGTGCAGTTTATTTAATTTTAGAGTTTAGTTTTTACACAACAAACAATTCTTTGCCTTTGAAAGAAGCATATTCATTACAAAAAGCACAACAATCCTAATTTAATTAATCTAGCAAATAACTTACAGCTTTTCATCTTATCTGTACACCTCTACAATTTAAGCACTGTTTCCTTTTCAAGTTCATTTGGTTGTTGTTTGGCATGATTAATATGAATTAATATGATATTTGAAAGAGAGCAAATTCCATGATGCATGAAATATTGACAATTCTGTAACTCTCTGCTCGATTGTAACATAATCACGTGACATACTGATGTTCACTTGAAAATGAACTACAGTTGGCTTGTTAATGTTCATTTAGGCAAGGTCACTCAATAACTCAATAAATAGAGTTGGCAGGGTATGTTTGACAGTGTGTCTACTATTTCTTATTGTGACTTTAAACAATAGCAGCCTTGTCTGTAATAAGGTGATCAAGCAGTTTAATATATATCTTTGAATAGTTGATATTTTATTAATGTATGACCAGAAATTATTGCGAATTTTAGGAATATGTTTAATTGGATTTCTAGTATAAAGAACCTAGACCAGCTATCAAGTGCTTGGTTTCATTCAAGAGAGACAACTCCGTTAATCCTTTTTCATTAGTTTGTGAAGAGTTAGCCCCCTTTGTTTACTTGCTAGCAGACGACATTTTCAGTGATCCTCAGTATGGATGATTTAGAGAAGAGGAAGTTGATTTTAGCGTATTATAACAAGGACATCAGATCAGCTAAAGTGATTTCAAGTAGAACAGGCATCCCTTTGTCCACTGTTTATCGTGTTTTGAAAACTATTGCAAATGGATATGGCATTGAGCACCAGGGAGGCGCAGGTAGGCCCAGAAAATTGACTGTCGGTGTCACGAGGCGGCTTGGTATTCTTGTTTCTTAAAACAAACGAAGGAGTTTAGAAAACTTAAGGATGGATATGATTGATAGAGGAACTGTGGCTGTCTGTAAGGAGACAATTAGAACTGAGCTGCATGCAATGGGTTGGCAGAAAATTCAAGGAATTCCATCACCGATCATGAAACCTGAACAAAAGGGGCGAAGGTTGAACTGGTGCTTACAACATAGAAATTTAAACTGAGACAATGTGATTTTCTCAGATGAAAGTTCTGTGTGGCTGTTTCCTAATACACTGAAATTCAAGACCAAACAAACTGAAAAACCTTTGTAACAGCGCCCAAAGTACAGTCTGAAATTTAACGTGTGGGGTGGCATATCTGTGTTAGGGGCAACACCCCTCTTTGTATTTGAAGGGAATATGAACAGTGAGCGGTACACAGATATTCTCGAGGGACATTTACTTCGATCTGCTCACGTGTTCTATTGAAATGTTTGGATTTTCCAGCAGGACAACGACCCAAAACATCGTTCAAAGCATTCACAGGCCTGGTTTCGGACCCAAAATATGACATTATTAGATTGGCCAAGCTATAGCCCGACCTAAATCCAATAGAAAATGTTTGGGGACTTATGAAGGAAAGTGTCAATAAGAAAAATCTGCCAAATATTGCTGAAATGAAAGAAGAGGTGGTCCGATATTGGGACAGCATGGACCACGACTTTCTAACTTCTGTGATCAGTACTATGCCCCGCCGCATTGAAGCCTGCATTGCTGCCCATGGTGATTTGACAAAATACTAACTGTTCACCTGTCTTTGAATCTGGAGTTATGCTCGCTAATATTCACAATTAATACGTGAGTAATGAGTGAAAAAAAAAATTACAATGTTTAATTCTCAATAATTTCTGGTTGTGCTGTATCTACCTTTGTAGTATCTCAGGTGATTTGTAATCCTCTATTATGTTTCCATGTTGTGTTACTGAGTCTTCTTTGCTTCTTATTTCTATGAAATGTTACAGACTCCTGCTTGTCAAGTACTGGGGCTGTCACACATCGATTTTATTCACTGTAGACACCATGGTTCACCTTATTTACATTGAAACATCCTGTTTTCTCCATTCACTAACACCTCTGTCCATCTCATAAAGGGAGGTAATTTGTCAAACCCATGTTCTATGCATACCACTAAGAATACCATTATGTTGCTTTCTGCTAGCACTACATTGATCGTGCTGATATGTAAATATAGATGTGTTTCTGAACAAACTACCGATCATTGTGTACATATAACTGATACATAGATGTGATT